TTACCTAGATAATGAGAGGGTGAGCCAGAATTGCAGCCAAGTGTGCCCAACTGTGAAGCCCCTGCTGAGTCTGTTGGGTGATAAGTGTTCAGAGAGAAGCTTGCTGCTCTACCAGCAATGGTCATGTTCCCACTTTGTGCTTTTAGAAATGGTGGTGAGCAATAGGAAATGTCATCCCTGAGGCTGGCAGATATAGTAGGGGATGAGACTTAGGATGAAGTAAGATTGACATGCACCTATCCAGTGCTTATTGTCCCCAGTGAAATAAGCAATAAATGGAGGCCCAGAGAGCTTCAGGAGCCTGGTTAGAGTCAAAATTGGCACCAAGATCCTTCTTAAGAGACCAGCTGGTCAAGTTCTGCCAAATTTGACAGGTGCAGAGACAGTTTCAGAGTGATCTGCCTAAGGCCAGAGGAACTGGCTCTTGAACCCAGGCCTCCGACTTCCAGCCAACACATTCTTCCTGCTGCCCCAGATTGAGAACAGTGTTGAGGCAGTTCCCTGTGAAGGACTCTGGGGAAGGTAGGCTGGGTGTCTTGCCGCTTCTCACCCCATGGCTCCTCTCTGAAGCCAGTCTGGGATTTGAGATCTAGAGGAAAGAGCTATAGGAAAGATCTAGAGGATGAGGCAGTTCCAGTAACCTGGGTTCTGGTTCCAATCCAAAACTGACATGCATGACAGGCACTAAGCAAGCCTTTATTAGATCAAATTTGATCCCCACTGTAGAGGTGATACTCAAAGAATACAGAGGACTTGCCTAAGGTCACTCAGCATGTCAGGGGCTGAGCTGGGGCTCAGATCCTCCAGAGGTTAACCTCTTATTGACTTCAGCTTTAGAGGAAGGGTCAGGAGCACTTTGTCTCTTTCAGCTTTCCATCTTCCTTCTTCACTGCCCCCATGCCTAGACATCAGCTTCCAAGGGTAGCCTGAGGCCAGCTCAATAGTTTCCTTTTCTGGCCCCTCTCTTTACCTGGTAACCTTTTGGCTGTTACCCATGGACCTGGATTCACCCCCTCCAGCAGCTCCTTCCCCTACTTCAAAGCATCTCCAATTCTGCTTTCTCCAGCAAATCCTTCCCCATTCAGATTTCTGACTGTAATAGCCTTGAGCTGTCCACTCAAGGATATCAGGTCCTAATCCCTGGCACCTGTAAATGCTACTGTGTTTTGAATAAGAATCTTTGCAAATGTGGTAAAACTAAGAATTTTTTTTTTTTTTTTTCAGATGGAGTCTCATTCTGTTGCCCAGGCTGGAGAGCAATAGTGTGATCTTGGCTGACTGCAACCTCTGCCTCCCGGGTTCAAGCGATTCTCCTGCCTCAGCTTGTAGAGTAGCTGGGATTACAGGCACCTGCCACTATGCCCAGCTAATTTTTGTATTTTTAGTAGAGATGGAGTTTCCCCATGCTGGCCAGGCCGGTCTCAAACTCCCAACCTCAGGCTATCCGCCTGCCTTGGCTGGCCTCCCAAAATGCTAGGATTACAGGCGTGAGCCACCGTGCCCGGCCTAAACTAAGAATCTTGAGATGAGGAGAGATCATCCTGGATTATCTAGGTGGGCCCTAAACGCCATCAAAACTGGCTTTATGAAGGAGAGGCAGAGGGAGACAGACAGACACAGCGAAGATGGTGATGTGAAGACAGAGGCACATTGTGACTCCACTCATAGGAGGTACCTGGAGTGGTCAAATTCAGAGAGACAGAAAGTAGAACAGTTGTTTCCAGGGGCTGGGAGGAGGGAGAATGGGAAGTAAGCCTTTACAGTATGGAGTTTCAGTTGGGGAAGTTCTGGAGATGGATGATGGTGGTGGTTGCTCAACATTGTGAGTGTACTTAATGCTACTGAACTGTACACTTAAAAATGGCTATTATGGTAACCTTTATGTTATGTTTATCCACCCACCCCCACAGAGGCAAAGATTGGAGTGATATGGTACAAGCCAAGGCATGTTGGCAGCCACTAGAAGCTGGCAAGGAAGGACTGTCCCCTAGAACCTCAGTAGTGTCACTAGAAACTGGCAAGGAAGGACTGTCCCCTGGAACCTCAGTAGTGTCACCAGAAGTTGGCAAGGAAGGACTGTCCCCTAGAACCTCAGTAGTGTCACTAGAAGTTGGCAAGGAAGGACTGTCCCCTAGAACCTCAGTAGTGTGGTTCTGCTAACACCTTGCTTTCAGCCCAGTGAAACTGATTTCATACTTTTGCCTGCCAGAACTATGAGAGAATAAATTTCTATTGTTTTATGCTGCTGAGTTGATGGTAATGTGTTACAGTAGCCACAGGAAACAAATGTAGCTGTGTACTACCTAACAATGTTTCCATCAATGATGGACCATACATGCAACAGTGATCTCATAAGATTATAATGGAGCTGAAAAATTCCTGACATTGTAGCTGTCCTAGTATGGCAGCAGGACACATTTCTCACATTTGTAGTGATGCTGGTGTCAACAAACCTATTGTACTGACAGTTGTGTAAAAGTATTAGAAAAATGTGGAACCAGCCCAAATCCCCATCAACGAACAAGTATATAAAGAAATTGTGGTAGGTATGTATATATATATATGATGGAATACTACTCAGCCATAAAAAGGAACAAATTAATGGCATTCACAGCAACCTGAATGGAACTGGAGACTATTATTGTAAGTGAAGTAACTCAGGAATGGAAAACCAAACATAGCATGTTCTCAGTCATAAGTGGGAGCTAAGCTATGAGAATGCAAAGGCATAAGAAAGATACAATGGACTTTGGGGACATAGGGGAAAGAGGGTTAGGGGGGTGAGCAACAAAAGGCTACAAATTGGGTTCAGTGTATACTGCTCGGGTGATGGGTGTACCAAAATCTCACAAATCAACAATAAAGATCTTACTCAGGTAACCAAATACCACCTGTTCCTCAAAAAACTATGGAAATAAAAAATAAAGAAGTGCATTTGCACATTAAAAAAGTATAACACATAAAATCATCTATAGTATATAACACTTGATAATGGTAACCAATGACTATGTTACTGGTTTATGTATTTACGATGCTTTTTTCATTGTTTTATAGTATACTCCACTTATTAAAAAAACAGTTAACTGTAAAACAGCCTCAGGTAGGTCCTTCAGAAGGTATTTCAGAAGAAGGCACTGTTATCACAGGAGATGACAGCTCCTTGTGTGTTACTGCTCCCTGAAGACCTTTCAGTGGGGCAAGATCCTGACCTTGTGCAGACCAAGGGTAATGTGTGTGTTTGTGTCTTCATTTTTAACAAAAAGTTGAAAATGTAAAAAAAAATTTAAGAGAGAAAGGCTTACAGAATCAGGATATAAAGAAAGAAATTTTTTTGTACAGTGGTACAATGTGTTTGTGTTTTAAGTTAACTTATTACAAAAGAGTCAAAAAGTAAAACAAAAGGTTTGTACAGTTAAAAAGTTATAGTAAGTTAAATTTATTCAAGAAGGAAAAGTATTTTAAAAATAAATTTAGTGAACTTAAGTGTCCAGTATTTATAAAGTCTACAGTAGTGCACAGTAATGTCTTAGGCCTTCACATTCACTAACCATTCACTCACTGACTCACCTAGAGCAGCTTCCAGATCTACAAGCTCCATTCATGGTCAGTGCCCTATACAAGTGTACCATTTTTATCTTTTGTTTGTTTGTTTGTTTCAGGGTCTCGCTCTGTTGCCCAGGTTGAAGTGCAGTGGTGTAATAATGGCTCATGGCAGCCACGACCTCCCAGGCTCCCTCCCTCCCTCCCTTCGTATCACCATGCCTGGCTAGTTTTCCTTCCTTCCCTCCCTCCCTTCCTCCCTCCCTCCCTCCCTCTCTCCCTTCCTCCCTCCTTCCCTTCCTCCCTTCCTTCCTTTCTCTTTTCCTTCCTTCCTTCCTTCCTTTCTCTCTCTTTTCCTTCCTCCCCTTCCCCTTCCCTTCCTCTTTCTCTCTCTCTCTCTCCCCCTCTCTTTCTTTTTGTTTCTCAGAGATGGGGTTTCACCATGTTGCCCAGGCTAGTCTTAAACTCCTGGGCTCAAGCAATCTTCCCACCTTTGCCTCCCAAACCGTTGGGATTGCAGGCATGAGCCACTGCTCCTGGCTCCATTTATTATCTTTTATACTGTATTTTTACTGTACCTTTTCTGTGTTTAGATAACAAATCATTACTATTATGTTACAGTTGCCTACAGTATTCACTACAGTAACATGCTGTACAGGTTTGTAGCCCAGGAGCAACAGGCTAGACCATGCAGCCTAGGTGTGTAGGCTATCCCTCCCATCTAGGTTTATGTAAAGACACTCTATGATGTTCCCACAAGGATGAAACTTCCTATGACGCATTTCTCAGAACATATCCTGTTGTTAAGTGACACATGACTGTATGCTAATCAATAGCCTGCTTCTCTGGGCTTTCCACACCTGAACTCCCAATGAGAAAAAAGGAAAGAAGAAAAAATTATAGCAGCTCTCTTCATCCCTCATCTTTGCTGGTGTCTCACTGTCAATGAGACCCCTTCACACTCATCATATGAGAGAGTCATTGCTGTCAATGCTGTATTACAGATGTTCGAAGGGAGGGTTGCAAATGCCAAGTGAGCTGTCAATGTTCTACTGCTTATTGGTAGCTGAGCTGACAATCGAACTAGCCAAGTAGCTTCTCTCTTCAACCCTTACTTCCCTAAACTCAAAATCTCTGCACCTAGGGTGTTGACTTCTTTGTGTGACAAGAGTTCAAGAGCTGGCCATTCCACTGTGGGGTCCTTTGCCAAGAAGCACAGTTCAACCAGTGAGAGGTGGACACTGTACCCTTGGGACCTTCTCGGGAGAAGCTCCCAGGCTGGCAGGAGAGGTGGGACCCCCAAGGGTCCTGGACAGATGAGTGTGGAGGGAGGAAGAGGAGACAGGACAGTTCCTACTTAGTGATGAGTCCTTACCCTCCTAATGCTGGGTTCTCCTTGTCATCTGTAGACACTAGTGACCTCAGAGTCACTTGAATATTTGTTCTTCTTCTGACAGTCAGATACAGCTGTGGCTCTGTGGGCAAATGTCTTTTTAAATGTGGAACCCTCATCTGACCACTGATTGTAAACTTATGTATACTTGGATAGGGAGGGGGCTGCTTCCTGCTCTCAGCTCTGTCTTTCCTTATCAGCCTCATCTTTCCTATGGCCTGAGTGTCTGGCTGACTTTTTTCTTTCTCGGGGGTTCTGCTAACAAGGTCCCCTTTAGTGACCAGATCGTGGTTTTGATTGGCACCCATGAGGGCAAGAGAGAGTCCAACAGGATCCTACCACTGAGCAGTGGCCCAGCAGCTCAGGCCAGCTGCATGGGAGCAGGTGCGTGTCACACTGTGTTCTCCTGGAAGCATCCATTCGGGGCAATGGGTTTAAAGTGTCCTTTTAGAAGAGACCAATGAGAAAGAGAGATGGCAAAAGGGCCTCAGGCAGCCTGAGGAATGACTGTGGTAGGGAGTTTCTTACAGTTGACATCCTTTTTATATATGTTTATTTGTAGCCCCTGCTAGTCCCTCCCTAAATATTGTAACCCCTTCCCTACTCCTCATGCTTGTCGTCTTCTGGAATGTCCCTCACTCCCACCTTACCTGGCTTATTCCTCCTTTTCTTTCAGGTCCCTGCTCAAACCAGAGCTTTCACAGATCTTACTCTAACCTCACCTTATCCCCAGGTCAAATTCCTTGGTAGGCATTTGGGGTATTAGTATTTCTCCTTCAAAGCATGTGTCACAATGGTAATTTCATAGGTAGTTGTCTCATCTTTGATGCTGATCTATCTCTGTCATTGGTCAGGAAGCTCTGTGAGGGAAAGAGCTGTGTGAGTCTTTTCATAGTGGTATTCCAGGGTTGGCACATATGACCTGGCACATAGAAGCTGCTCTTTTGTTGCAAGAATAAATGAGTGCATGAATGGATGCATTTTCTGACCTCTACCTGGGCCCCATCCTTTCCTTTCTTTACCCATTCATGTTTGGCTCTCCTAAAAAGATCAAAGAATGGCTCTGTCCCTTCTTTGAAGTCCTTTAGTATTTCCAGTTCTCTCTCCTGCTCGCTTCACTTTCTATGCCTTGTACTTTTGGAACTTGGCATGGTCTGGCTGCCTGCACCTGCATCTGGGTTCAGGGCTGGACTTTTCCTGTGGGTGGGTTCACTTCCAGACTAGAACAGAAGCTTCCTAAGGGCAGGGACTCTTCCTGGGATACATCCAGGTGAAAAAACTGGCTGAATGCAGGAACGAATGAACACAGGCAAAAGGCGAGTTGCTCCAAGCTGCAGCTGACAGCTGAGCTCTAAGTCTTGGCAGGCATTCACAGCAGTGAGCCCCTGCTTTCAGATTCCTCGGAAGAATTCCTGCTTCCTCTGAGCAGGCATTATACTGGCCCCAGGACATAGCCTTATGTAGTTTGCAGTCCTGGGGGATGTGTGGGGGAAATGGGGAAGACCTGTGGGGATGATGTCCAAATAATGATTCTTTGTCTGCAGCTTCGGTGGGAAGAACAGGTGCTGATACGGAAGGAGGGGAAGCAGACCTCTGAAGCACTGAGTGCAAAGGAACAGGATGCTCACATTTGGTGAGTGGGTAGTTGTCTAGCAGTGGGCAGGGAGGGCCTGAGGCAGACCAGAGTCCTGGCAGAGTTTCTGTGGCCCCCCACCTCCCTGCACCTCCCCATCAGAGCAAGGCCCCCCTCTTTGGGAACAGCCACTTCTGGCTGCTCTGTGGCCTCTAGAGCCAGCCCCTGAGAATACCCCACAACCCTCCCTCTGAACCCTGGTGTGGGCTGCAGGGCCAGCTCTGCTACTGGCTTACTGTATGACCTTGGGCAGGTCATGCTTCCTCTCTTGGTCATCTTTGTTCTGAGCCCTGGCTTGCGGTTTAGACATGTGTTTCCAGATGGGTGAGCTGAGTCCCCAGGAAGGTCAGGGTTTGATGAACTCCTTGGAAAGAGTTCTCTAGTATCCCTTCTGCTGCCTCTGGAGGGCCCTGCATCATTACTGGGAGAGGGACAGGGCAAGGAAATAGCTCGCAGTGAGATCCCTTTCCCCAGTCTCAGTTTCTTCCTCTTTACAGTGGGCGTAACAGTGGTCCTGGGGGCTGCAAGGCTGTGGAGGGGGAGTCAGGAATGTGGGTGGGTCAGTGGCTGTCCTAGTGGCCAAGAGATTAGGATTGTGCTGATTTTCTTCCAGCGACAACCAGGAACTCTCTATCCTCTCAAGAATGTTCTCCAGGGAGAACAAGACTTGACTGATTCCTCAGAAGAGTGCTGCACCCATTTTACAAGCGGATAAGCCAAGTCCTTAGAAGGCCTGGGACTGGTCCAAGGATGGGTGGCAGGTGATCTGAAGCCTCTAGGCCCCCAGCCTGAGGTGGCCTGTTCCCTCAATGGAGCCACTCCAGCTCTGGCAAGGGCAGGTGTGGTGACGCTGCTGGTACCTGCTGTGGGAGTACAGTGGGCCTTTGTGGCAGGCAGGCACCACCCCCTGGCTGGCCCCTCCCCATTCACAGGACAACTCTTACCTGCCCAACCGCCGCCCCAGCCAACAGCTCAGCCAGCTGCTCCTTCCTGGGCTCCACGCCCGGAGCTGCTTCCCGACGGTGCAGCCTGCAAGGCATCACAGGGGCCCCGCGCTACTGCCCTGCTCCCTCAACGTCCCAGGTCCCCTCCCCCAGTGCTGATCATTAACCAGGAGGCCGTATAAGGAGCTAGTGGCCCTGGTGAGAGGGAGGGACACAACTCTGCCACCATGGACAGTAGCACCTGGAGCCCCACGACCACCTCGGTCACCCGGCCTGTTGAGACCCACGAGCTCATTCGCAATGCAGCTGACATCTCTGTCATCGTTATCTACTTCGTGGTGGTGATGGCCGTCGGACTGTGGGTATGCAGTGGGTCCTGGGACGCGGGCGGGGAGGGTGCTCACGGAGGAGGAGCAACAGCCTCACTGAGCTGCAAAGGGCAGTAGGCTTAAGTGTCAGTGGAGGGGAGAGGAAATGACTTGGAAGCACTTTAGAAGCACTCAGAGGCACAGCATGAAGGGAGGAGGGCAAGCAAGGATGAGCAGAAGTGAGAAGGGTGCCCAGGGCAGCCTGCCAGGAAGGACCAAGGAGGATACCTGGGCCTGTGAGCAGAGGAGGAAGGTGGGGGTTTGAAGAGACCACTGGAAAGTGTAAGGAGCAGGGAAGGGGCCACTTGGAGCTGCAGCGAGGGCTCTGGGGCTTGGGAGATGAGCCTCTAGCAGGTGACTACTGTCCTACCTTTTAGTCATCCAGTTTCAGATAGGAAAGAAACGGTGTGGAGTGGGAAAGCCACAGCCTCTGCCAGCCCCAGAGATGAGGATGCTGAGGTGGCAGACAGTGGGATACTGACTCCATGTCCCCATTCTGGGAGAGGTTAACCCAGAGGCCTTGTGCGTGAGGATCCCAGGGACTGGAGCAAGTTAGAGATGAGAAAGATGGGTGGAAAAGGAAGAGGAGGAGAAGGAGGAGGAAGAGGAGGAAGATCTGGGGGTGACCTGGCACTGGGGAGAGGGAAGTGTGTGTCTCCTTTTGGGACTCTGGGGACACAACAAACCAGAGAAACTTGTTCTCAGCCACCTGGAACATGGACATTTCACTTATGACAGACTCTGGCACGCCCAACAACTAGAGGAGGAGATGTTTTAAAAGTGTGCAGGACCGAGTGTGGTGGCTCACTCCTGTAATCCTAGCATTTTGAGAGGCCAAAGTGGGAGGATTGCTTGAGTCCAGGAGTTCGAGATCAGCCTGGGCAACATACTGAGACTCTGTCTCTACAAAAAATAAAAAAATTATAAAAAGTATAAAAAGTTTGCAGATATTCCAGCCACTCTCATGATTGTTATGGAGGTGGAGGTGATAAGCCCAGGGAGGCTGCTGTACCAGCTGGTAATTGTGTTGAACTCTTTTGACTTAGAGGAGAGGAAGATAGGCATGAACCCTTCTGTGGACACAGAGCTTTTTCAGGGACAAAAGGAAAAGGAAGTGTTTTTTTTTTCAAAGGAATTGTAGAAACTACATGTGGCAGAATGCCTCCCAAGTGTCACATGGGGTCAGTATGGCTGACTTTCCCTCAATACTCTCAGCTTCCCAGACATAGTGGAAACTGACCAACTAGGAGCCAGGATACTCAAGTTCACTACTGGCTTTCATATGGTTCGAATTCTGCAACACTGGGTAACTTCCCTCAGCCTCCGTTTACTCAACTTTAAAATAGGTACACTCTTATCTATTCTAATGACTCCCCCATGGTTGTGGTGAGGATATGCAGAGGTGAATCTGAAAGCTGTTTACGGATTCTGGGATTAAAAAAAAAATACTATTGTCATTTACCTTCCATGGTATGATCTAGACTCTGAACAATGTTTGAAAATGGGCAGCAGTGGTCAGGTGGGTAGTATATTTTTACAAAAGCCACAAGACAGGGAAGGCCAGAATGCTAATCCCCATTTTACAGAAGAGGAAATTGAAGCCTCATTTGGTTGTGATTTGCTTAAGGTTACAATAGATGAAATTGTTCTTGGAACTCAGATCTCTTGGCTCCTGATTTTTTATGGTACCAGGCACTCTGCCACTGTGACTGATTTCCTCCTCCCACCCACCCCAGCTTATAAGTGCTAGAGCCAAGGTGTGAGCCTGTCATCTGCTGGCTATACAGTACTGCCTGTTTCCCAGACAATCTCTGATAATCTCGGTTCTCTTAACCAATCTCATTTTAGCCCTGCCAGTCCAGTAGGTGTTTGTACTTTTTAAATGGTGTTTACATGTTTCAAGTATCTGTGAATCAGTATCACTTGTCCTGCTAAATGCTACTTAATAGCTTGTTTAGTATTTGTCTATGTTTAATCTTCCCCCATTAGACAGTGCCTCTGGACCCTGGTCATTTAATGCATTGGATTTCTTCCAGTTTGTCCTCCTCTGTTTGCTGTTAAAGTGTCAAGAGTGACTTGATTCAGGGGTGGCCATTCTGACTCCTTCATGATCTCTGGGCTGCACATGCAGAGTGGTCCAGGCCCATTGTGTTTCTTCAACTTACAAAAGACCCACACTTGAGTCAATGTCCCTCTGTCACCTTCTCCATGTCTTCCAACATTATTTGGTTCTGTTTTGTCCTTTTACAACTCTGCCTCCTCCAATCATATTTTAGGCTTTGGCTTATTGCTTCTTCAAAGTTAATTTCCATTTTTCTTTCACCACCTATCAGTTTGTTTCTTAGGGAATTTTATATCCTTTTAAGCTGGATCTCTGACCTTATTCTTCCTGGAAGAGTTCATCAAGCTATCCTGAAATTCCCTCAAGCCAGGGGTTGTTAAACTATGGCCCATGGGCCACATCTGTCTCACAGCCTGTTTTTGTGTGGTCCATAAGCCAAGAATGGTTTTTACACTTCTGAAGGGTTGTGAAAAAGAAATAACAAAACAAAATATGAAGAATTTGCAGCAGAGACCCTGTATATTCCACAAAGCCTCAGTATTTACCATCAGGCCCTTTTTCTTTAAAGAAAAAAATATTACTGACCCCTGTCTTATGCAGTCATTTGAACTGATAGCATCATTAAATGACTGAATTGGAATGGCCCTTGAGGGAGCCCAACCTTTCTGTTTTACAGATAAGGATCAGAGAGGGTGACCAGAAGTCATTCAGATGAATCAGTCCCAGAGCTGGGACAAGAATCAAGGTCTTATGATGCCAAAGCCAATGCTCTTTCCACTATTCTACCTTTCCCACTCCCCAAGACACTTGCCTTTCTAGGAATACTCTCTCCATGGTCCTTACTGTCATTGCATTGTTGTGACAGTGTCCTGGTGGTGCTGAATTCCTTTGCTTTTTTTTTTTTTTTAAGTTGATGCTGTTCTTTAGATCATTTGACAAAATCAACTTTAGACTAGTTGTCAACAGCCTTCACTTGAACACTTCCAGTGGAAACTCTCCCAAGTGGCTTTATTCCATCTCTGGACAGCTCTGACAGAGAGGATATTCCTTTTGGCTCTGGGCTCAGACCTGATGTCCTGGAACTTCTGTCATTTTGTCTGGTTGTGTCCTATGTGGGCCACACCAAGCATCATGTCTGTCCCACTTTACATTTCAGAAGACAATAGGCTGCATTTGAGGCTTCTCTTCTCCAGGCCCAACATCCTCAGCTTCTTAAGTTGTTCCTCTTCTGGAAAGAGGCCTAAAGTTCTTCCTTTCTGCTCAGTGCTCTTTGTATTCCGTGGAGATAGAACCCAAGTAAACCCCAAACCAAAACATTGTGGGTCAGTAATTGTCCTTCTTTTACCCCAGCAGCTTGGAGTTGTGAGTTCATTCTCTTCTAGTTGTAGAGTGGACAGGTGAATGTAACACTGTGGTTTACAAAGTGGTGTCTGGAACTTTAAAGTTATCCTTTGAGCATCTCATGCCCACAGAACAGTGATTTTCTGTGCACAAAGCATTATGCCCAAAGCATTATGGGAAATTAAAAATTTGTAATATGGTAACACAAAGTAAAAAAAAAATTGTAATGGCTGTGAACAAGGCATAAGTGAAGTCATCTGGGTGTTCAGACACTTTCACTTGGAGAAGGGAGGAGGCTGTAGGGAAGGAGGAGGTTTCCATGGGGGAGTGTCAGGTAGGGTTTCATGGGGGAAGTGGATTTTGAGGGGCCTTGAAGAATGAATAGGTAGTGTCTGGGCTTGCATGGATGAGGGGATGAAAATTCCGAAGAAGAAAAGCCTTGGTGCACACACACCTCTCTTCACCTTTTGTCCATCCCCATCATCTTTCCTGAATTATTTCAGCTCCCCACTCTAGTCTCTGCCCTCACATTCTTCCTCTAAGGTCTTCATTTCTGAGACCAACTGGGGATATCAATCTTCTTCAACTTCACAGTGGCCTTCAGAATGGCTTTTCCTTGGTCAGTTGCTATAGCTCGGGTCCTTGGGATTTGTTTCTGTTTTGGCCCTTAGCTACCTTTTCTGATTCTTAGATCTCTTGCTATTCCCAAAAAAACTGCTACAGAGGACTTCACAGTATCTCCTATGGGAGGAAGGACCCTGCCAGGAGTCCAGAAAGACCCAAGCCATGTTCTCCCGGGTACTGCCCAGCACATGGGGGAGCTCAGCAAATCTATGTTGACTGACGGGACCCAATAATGGCCCTGCTTCCTAAAGGACTAAGTTCAATAATACATCGTTGAGTCTGAGCACCTAGCAACATGTTATCTGTCTCAGGCATGTTTGATGACTAAATTACAAGTGTCAAAGTGCCTGAGATGTCACCATCAGGGGTTAATGCCTTCGGAATAGTGATGCTTTTTAGCTTAGTGGTCACCTATGAAAATGCAGACATTGGCCGGGCGTAGTGGCTCATGCCTGTAATCCCAGTACTTTTGGAGGCCGAGGCGGGCAGATCA